GATCATTTTCTTCTCCGTGAATTAATTTGAATGTAGGAAGCAAATACTAGACAGAAAGGCAACATTGCGTATTTTCATATAAATGGTTGGTGCTGAGCCAGATTTCCATTACTCTAGAATTTTTGGAATGTCATAGGGTGCTTATTTGAATCTTGTTCTCCAGAGTCATACTGTGCTGGCAGAGATCGTGGAGTACAAATAAATCTGAATGTTGTATCTCCAAATCCTTGAAGAGATATAAACATAATTTGTGGACTTGAACTACATGGTCCTGACAGTCATTTGACTGTTGATATTCAGACTGCAATAAAAGTATATCTGCAGTCATCATTCATTCACATTAACAAACCAGAAATATATTTAGGAACAGTCTTTGGAGACAAGTTACTATGTAGAGATGGTTGTATACTTTCCCAGCAATTACTTTTCTAAGTGTTTCTCTGCTCTGAAGCATGCCTAGGAATGTCGCCTATCCTTTTCCCAAACATGACCTCCTTTTCCTTGAATGGTCTCCCAGTAACCTTGTTTAGAAGGTCAGTTTTCAAGTATATTTGTTGAAAGCACTAAACAGCTGTTTGCAATTTGTATTCTATTTCTATTTTTTGCTCCCTCCCCCTTTGCTCATAAAAAGTGCTATTCTGAAAATAGCATGTTTGGCTTAGTTTGTATATGTCATGTAAGGTCTCCTCCCGCAATCTGGCGCTTTTCATGTGCCTTGGACATTTTTGCAGTACAACACATGTGGGGGGTACAACATAGACCACAAAACATTCTGCTTTAATTCCTATCCACTCCTTTTCTCCTCCAGGCCATGAAACATGGTTTTAAATTAATATTTATGTCACTTACAATTTATAAATCCAGGTGATCTTTCCAAGGAACTTAGCATGCATTATTTTGATCTTATATACCTCATAATCTCTCATGCTTTCACACATATACACTGTGTTTAAGAAGATAGGGTGGTTCAGTTTTTGCATATAGGAACTAGGTCATGGAATTCTCCAAAGTATTTTTATGTCTCCTCAAAATCAGTCTAAGGTTCTCTTAGCCAATATTTATGATGGCTAAAATGTAATTGGCTCTACAAGCAGCTATGAGTAAACCCATATCATATTAATTTTTGGTCTATATATATATATCTTCAGTTGAATGCCCTGTGCTCCACATAAATCTTCCTCCAGAAGTTGACCATAACATTGCACTGGAGACCTAGAGAAAACACTTCTCTATTCATTTGTAAGTCATCTACTACAATGTTACAGTCAGCCTCTGGAAGTAGTTATTTGTTAACAAAACATACATATGCCCTATAATAATTACACAAACCCAAAAAGGTTTATGCGGAGGACAATGCACATTTCTAAATAGGGTTCCAGATTATATGCAAAAGGACCTCATCACATGGATGTTGAGAAGTGTGGGGTTTTAATGTTTGGTGAAGGCAATTATCCCTTTCAATTGCCAATTGTCCTGTTTCAAGTTCTGCCTTCCCATCACACATGTTTGCCTCTTTGGTTTTTCCCCATTGTTGCCCGGGTTCTGAATCGTCACGTGGGAAGCCTTTTATCCGCCCTTTCCATCTTACTTTTTTTGAAAAGGGAAAATCTCCCGCTTCCTCCCACCTCTAGCTCAACCAAAGCATAATTCTTAAGATACCACTTCCAAGGGATTCTTTCCTTCTCAAGTCCCACTCTTAAGACCTCCCCTCCCCCCCGCCAAATATTACCCATCAAATACCACCAAGCGGGAGGGCAAGTTAGACACTTCCCTTTCCACAGATCTGACACACTAGGAGCTCTGAACATGATTACTGGCTGCGTTCAGAGTTCCCTTCTTTCAGGACATTTCTGCTTCTTTGCAACCAAGGAGGGATATACATGATGGCCGAAAGTAGTTTAAAGTCATGTGATGAGCTCTGTGCCTCTCCATGGCTGAAAAGAGACTGAAATGTCCTAAGATGGAGAAATTTCTCAATGTGACGAGGTCCTGAATCATATTATAGAGAGGATCCTAGACCAGATCTCTCAAGCAATACACGGGCCTGTTGTATATTGTTTTCATTATGTTGTTTTAATTTATATCGTAAATGACTTTGGGTGCTATCCTGGGAAAGATATAAAACAAACCAACACATACACGTTCCTTTTGATAATGAGATTTTGTGTATTAAACTGCAACTTGCCTTTTGCTTTGCATCTCGGAAAGATTCCTTTAGTTAATGTGTGTTAATATGGGAATATATTCAAATATAATTGGCTGGGAATTCTTTAATTTAACAGTCCTGTGATAACAAAGTTTGGAAATTTTTTCCTGTTTTGTATTACAAATTTCAGAACTTCTCAGACAGTGTCAACAGTTATCATGTCCCGCTGTTTAATTCATTTCCAGGCTGTGTTTTTCCCATTTTCATCTCTAGCTAGACCACTTTTGAATCTGTTCTCTAATAGAGGGTTTTTCCAAGCTTTGTTAACTAAGATAGAATGGTTAAATGAAAGAATTATTTATTCTCCGTGAAACTCCAGTTGGCCTGCGTACTTTGACCTGGCAGTAAGCCACCTTAAGGGTGAGTTCAGAGCTTACGCAGCCCAGTTCATTTCTCCACTGGGAATAATGTGAGATGCACAAAAATAGGAGGCCAAGTTTGCTAGGAAATCTGCGCCATGAAGGCAGTTTAACTTTTGCTTGTTTAGCCAGTTCTTGACATAGGTCAGGCATTATCTAGCCAAGAAATCGACGAAGTATGACTTTTATTTAGCAATCGGGTCAAGTCATGGTGTTCCAGTCTTAACTCATTGTTTCCTAAAATAAATTCTTTTGATGAAAAAGGACAAAACAGATTTCACAGAAATACTGTAGCTGTATTGGGTTAACTAAATCCGAAAGATAATTTTAACTTGTTCAGATACCAATGTGGATTGAAACTGGGAAAAAATGTACTCGGTAATCTTTTCAATGTTGAAAAATTAGAAGTCAGTTGTACTTTCCAGCTGTTTTATTTCTTGGGATGTATGAGCTAGAGACCATTGAGGGAGGACCTTCTATAACTTCCAAATAATTTCTCAGGTCCTTGTGGTGTGGAAAAGTGGCGACTGCTCCCAGACTTTGGAAGTCATTTTCATGGGTGCATCTACACTTTGGAATTAATGTAGTTTGACACCACTTTAATAGCTATGGCTCCCAAGATTCCATAGGATTAAACCAGTGGTTCTCAACCTGTTTTGGCCTTCAACTCCCAGAAATCCTAACAGTTGGTAAATTGGGTTGTTGTAGGTTTTTTCTGGCTATATGGCCATGGTCTAGAGGCATTCTCTCCTGACGTTTCGCCTGCATCTATGGCAAGCATCCTCAGACGTAGTGAGGTAAATTGGCTGGGATTTCTGGGAGTTGTAGGCCAAAAGACCTGGGAACCCACAGGTTGAGAACCACTGGATTAAACAGTGGTTAAAGTGGTGTCACTGTCAATGTGCACCTACTGTATAGACCAGGGGTCCTCAAACTTTTAAAGCAGAGAGCCAGTTCAAGTCGTTTCAGACTTAGGACGACTCTAAGGCAACCCTGTGACAAAGTTATCATGTCAAGATTCATTCAAAAGGGATTTGCCTTTGCTTTCATCTGAGGCTGAGAGAGTGTGACTTTCCTAGTCACCTAGTGGATTCAGAGCCACTACACTATGCTTTCTTGTTTAATTTTTTAAAAAGCATTAGGTTGTATAAGAGGATCATACCATTTCAAAATCACGTTACAGGAATAATGAGGAAAGGAGACAATAAATTTTTTTCCCATAGATACTCATACTGTTCTGGCATAGCTTGTTTTCTTATCCTTTCCAATTCTGTACTTATCACTACTTACATCTGTCTCTCCCCCTGCCCTCACCCTCTTCTTCCGGGAACAGTTATACCTCCATTTCAACTTTTATTTTATTAATTTTATCATGAAGATGGTCTGATTTAGTCCATTGTGTTTTCCTTTTCCTACACTACGCTTTCTGAATTATTTCCCTCTCTGTTTCCTACCTACTTACCTTTCTTTTTTCCTTCCCTTCCTTCCTCTCTTTTCCCTATCACCTTTTCTTCTTTCTTTCTTTCTTTCTTTCTTTCTTTCTTTCTTTCTTTCTTTCTCCTCTTTTCCTTTCTTCTGTTTTGGAGGGATCATGAAGGGAGTGCAGTGGACTTCTACGTTTTGGAGGAAGATAGACAGAGGAAAGGAAAAGAAAGCTAGGGAGCAAGAAGGGGGTGCAGAGATCCCACTGTTTTGGAGAGAGATGGAGGAAAGGAAAGGAGAGATAAGGAGCAAGAAGAGGGTGATGGTGGCGGAGTGCAAATTGTGGTAACGGCAAGTCTAAAGTTTAGGGTAGGTGATGGGGAAATGACTTTGGTGGGCCTGATATGGCCCTTGGGCCATAATTTGAGGACCCTTGGTATAGATGCACCCTATATTGGCTCCCTCCTTGCTTTCTTGCAAAGAAGTGAAAACTTTCATATTTTATCACGTTTTTAGGAATTGATTGTGATGGGCTGTTTTGTTGGGGGTTTTTTTTTTGTTAAAAATTACTTTCTAATGAATATTAAATTGATTTAACTAGATGATTTGATTTTTAACACAACATTTGTGTGTGTATATTTAAATTGAGTCCACTTCGGGATGAAAAGGGCGGAATATAAATAACATTTGTGTGTATATGTATATGTATGTATGTATATATAGAGAGAGGGGGGGATGTTTTGTATGTTTTTAAATCACACTGATTTTAATCATTTGTAAATCACCTTGAGCCCCATCACTGGGGAAAAGGTGGGATATAAATGTTTAAAATAACAATAATGAAAAAAATGATTGTTGCATGGTTGGAGCAGAACCCTGACTTTGCACAACAGCCATTAAAGTGAGGCATGACAGCATATGTACTTGACTTGTAGGATGCCAATCTACTCGTATGTATTTCAAAAACAAATATTGAACATCATGGTAATATCCTCCTCCTTTATTTATTTTAGGTGGAAAATGTCCGCTTAATTGATGGTATTTCATCCAAAAGAGCTGCGCCAGGGACTCTGTACTTAACAGCCACACATGTCATCTTTGTGGAAAATGAATCCGATGCTCGAAAGGAAACATGGGTACGTCATATTGCTGCTATGAAAATCTTGTAAAGATAGAGATGTTTTGAGTGTCAACTTCCATACATTTCAGTGAGCATGATCAATGATCAGTGATTAGTGCAGTCAGCCATCCATATCCACAGTTTCTACAAACCACATGCAATGGGGACTGGAGCATCCAAAGATTTTGATATCTGGATCCTGAACCAAACATCAGCAGACACCAAGGGCCATAAGAAACAAAGTTGCCTATTCTGCCCAGTCCATACTCAGCATTGGTACATTATAAGACAAACCTCTACTTTTTCTGTGTTTTTTTTTTAGTTGAACATTTCCCCTCTCTCAATTCTTTAAATTGTACACCCAATGTTTGAAAGGAGAACTTGTGCTTGTAGATGGCATGATGTGTCTTTTCTTCCCTTCCACCGATTATCACCATACAAATTACCTTCCCATGTTTAACTGTTTGGGAAGACAGAGTTGCTGGAACTCATTTAGGTTCCACTCTATGCTGTTTCATTTTGCTTCTCCCCTTAGGGAACCTTCCAGGATGCGTGCTTAGGAAGTGAATATGTAAATTAAAAGCTAGCAAACACTAAAGCAGCGTATCTTCAGAACTTTCAGTTTCAAATTATTATTATTTATTCATAATAAATGAATTATACAACTTACACACAACTAACATTAACACAAAACATACAATAAATTGGTTAAACAATTAGTTGTATATTTTTATACATTTGATCTTTATGTGCATCCACCACCCATGGGACATGTATTCATCCTTAATATTCATGGTGCTTATATTCACCTCTTCTCCAGAATACTAATACATGTTGATTTGGTTTTATTCCTTTTTCTTTGAGTAATATATGTTCTAAGAATTCACCCCATACTGCCTCAAAACCATTTATTTTTTGTTAATCCCTTTTTGCATTTTATTTCATATGTCAGTTTATCATTTATTACGATGTTCTGCACCTCTTTGTACCAATCATCAATTTCGTATTCATAATTTTACTTCCATTTTTGCCTATAATTAATCTTAGAGCAGTAACAAAAGTTTTTATTCATTCTTTTGCCATTTTAATTTTATATCTCCAAAATTTATATAGTGCTATATTTGATTTTTTTTTGCAGATTAATGGCTAATATGTCATTAATTTCAACAAAGACTTTTCCCCATTTTTGAAAAATCTTTTCACATTCCCACCATAAATGTATCTAAGTCCCAATGTATTGTTGAAAGCTTTCATGGCCCAGTTTCAGTACTGTTTCATTATCCTGGTGGAGACCACTAGAGGATGTTAAAGAGAGAGAAGGATAGTCCATATTATGGGAGTTATGGGTGGGTTGAAGAAGTAAAACTATTTCCCCCTGTTTTTCTATTATTCCCCCAAACATGTTGCTGTCGTGGAAACAACCCTTGTGTATGAAATGGGAAGTGGGGAGGGGGAACAACCAGTGAAAACATAGGAAATGGTTTTCCTCCTTCAACTCCCCTCCCCCCCATAAAATGGACTACCCTTCGCTCTCTAGCGCCACTAGTGGCCTCCACTCGGATAATGGAACAGTTTCTTTATGGAGGGAAAATATTTTCAAGCCATGGATGGTTCAATCTATGGGCACAGAATCTGTGTATACGGCGAGCCAACTGTATATATGAAATTAACTCAAACTTCTCCAAACTAAATCTTTCCAAAAGGTTGTTTCATAAGATAACTACAGGGGGTGGGGGTGGTGGGAATTTGTGGGTGCAGAATTCATGCGTATAGGGGGCCAATTGCACTTACTTATACTTAACACGTTGCTATTCATTTTGAGTGGAACCCAGTCTGGCTCACAAAAGGAATCAGCATAATTTAGTAAAAATTTAGAGTCATAGAATTGGGCTGCAGATTCTCCCCCTGGCATAAATGATGTCCAATGTTTTTTAAGGAATTATTTGTGTTTTCCCGCAAAGAACAATATAGCAAAACCAAATCTAACGAAAACAAATCCAAAGAAGGCTTCAGCATACAATAGGCATGTGACCAAAATGTAAAATTGATGTTTAGGGAGAAATCTAGTTAAATAGTGACCATTTTCTCTTCATCACAAGGAGTTCTTTTTCCATGAGCTCTGTACCCCAGAAGAAATTATTTCTCCATGGGTGAGAAATCATTTCTCCATGTTATCAATTCAGGAATCTGCGGCGCTCATGCTTTACGCTCTGACATTTTGCTGACTCTTGTCATAGCGAGCTTTGCATTACATAATTAATGCACATGGAACAAGTGGATTGAGCTGATTCTTTTGCTGCAGCATATCCTTTGTTGTGCTTCTTCATGACTTTTCTCCTCTTCATTCTTTACAGATTCTTCACAGTCAGATCTCCTCGATTGAGAAACAGGCTACAACAGCCACCGGTTGCCCATTGCTGATTCGTTGCAAGAATTTCCAAAACATTCAGTTCGTTATGCCCCAGGAAAGAGATTGCCATGATGTTTATATCTCTTTAATACGTCTGGCACGTCCAGGTACGGAATGAAAGTCAAGAAGGTGTAACATAAATAGAAACAGATGATTTATCTCATTGAGACATTTCTTGTAGATACTTTAGAAGTCAAGGAGGTTCCACCTTGTGGTGGAATGCTGCTGATTGACTTGAAGCTGTCTGAGTAGTTTGACCTCTGTTTCACTTAATATGGAAAGCACGCAATTCCCATTTACTTTCTTTCAGAGGAGTCCTTTCCTATCTCATTCTGTTCCTGGTTTGAAAATGTTATTTAATTGTGTGTTACATACTTTGAAAGTAGTTGTTATACTCCAGAAACTTCATTTTTGTGGCTGCTACAAATAATAATAATAATAATAATAATAATAATAATAATAATAATAATAATAAGACTTTATTTGTACCCCACTACCATCTCCCGAGGGGCTCAGTGCGGCTTACATGAGGCCGAGCCCACAACACAACAATAACAATAACAGCAATAATACAAAAACAATACAAAACTCATAGCAAAATAAGCAAAAACAATAACAATAACACGACGCATTTAAAAACCAATGGCTACTGCATTTGGGGTAAACCTTGCCCTGTTTTATGTCCTGGATTTTGTTGGGGACCTGATCTGTTTTTTTGTGAGCCTCCTGAAATCGGGAGGGTTGTTTTTGGTTCTTTCAGTTTGGAACCCCGAAAATCAGACCATAGGCGAGGGGGGGGGAGCTTCCCACCATCTCCCTTTCCCGGTGTACGTTCTTATTACCTGATACCTGCTGTTTCTACTCTAGAGTAAGAGGCGCTCGGCTATAGGCACTAGCAGGCATGCACACTTTCTGGGCTTGCCTCCACGCCACACATACACACCTTCCTTGTAAAAAGAGTGCATGTGTGGCAATGTGTGCAGGCCTCACGCCTGGCATGCCTGCAGCCAAGAGGCGATAAGCTGCAGGTGTGATCCGAACCTGCCTGCGTGTCCGCTACACATGACACACCACACTCTCTGAGAGTCCGTGTATGGCAGAGCATGCAGGCAGGCCTGGAGCATGCCTGCAGCCAAGCTCCATGCCTGCGTGTCTGCATGCCCCGCCAAACACGCACACTCTTTCCAAAGCAACGAGGCATGTTTGGATGCACACGGAAGCAGACTTTTGTGTCGAGCAGATTTTGTGTGGGGAGGGGGTTTTCCGTTTGTGCTTCCGAAGAAATGGAAGACATGAAACAAACTGTGGAAACTGTAGGAATGAATTTTGCACACATCTCTACTACAAACTGTGTTGAATTGATTGAGACTCTATGAAATATTCATTGAAAACTATAGCAAAATGTGCTGCAGGATGTCCTGCAAAAACAAAGTTAAGAAAGAAAATGTTCAAACTTTTTCTAGAATTCAGACTTCACTTGTGCTCAGACTCCCTCTGCCTATTGTCAAGGTACAATTGTACGTCCACTCTCTCATTTGCTTATATACAATTGTTATATTTAGCCTACCAAAAAAATCTGTAGCAGAAAGACTGGAGTGAAAATCACCATTGTCCAAAACATAGGATAAAGCCATCAGTTACAACCGCTACAACTTCACCGTTTGGAAATTCTTCCAGCTAAATTAAATTAGGACAAATGTGTGTTAATGGAATGTTTTATCAGCATTGCAGTTACAAAGTGCAAGACGCAAAGCTTCTTCCTGTTCACAGGTTATAAAACGTGTTTGACAAAGTTAGCCTGGATAAAGAAGAACAGACAGTTCATGGCCTTCTTTCACAACATGCACAGATTCAAATTACCCCATCCCACTTTTCTAAAGACTTACAGCCCTAGCTAAGCCTAGATCCACAATATCCCCTTATTGGTTTCTTCCTGTTCACATTTTATAGGCATTTATTTGGAGATTGACTCTTCCTTGGCCCATTCAGCCATGTTACCCTACCATAGAATCATAGAGTTGGAAGACACCTTGTGGGCCTTCCAGTCCGGCCCCCTGCCATAAAACAGGAAAATCACATTCAAAGCACCCCTGACAGATGGCTATCCAGCCTCTACTTAAAAACCTCCAAAGAAGGAGCCTCCACCACAGTCCAGGGCAGAGAGTTCCACTGTTGAACAGCTCTCACAGTTAGGAAGTTCTTCCTAATGTTCAGGTGGAATCTCTTTTCTTGTAGTTTGAAGCCATTGTTCCATATCCTAGTTTCCAGGGCTGCAGAAAGCAAGCTTGCTCCCTCCTCCCTATGACTTTTCCTCATATACTTATACATGGCCATCATATCTCCTCTCAGCCTTCTCTTCTGAAGGCTAAACATGTCCATCTCTTTAAGCCACTCCTCATTGTGCTTGTTCTCCAGACCCTTGTTCATTTTAGTTGTCTTCCTTTGGACACATTCCAGCTTGTTAACATTTCCCTTCAACTGTGGTGCCCAGAATTGGACACAGTTTTCCAGGTGTGGTCTGACCAAGGCAGAATAGAGGGGTAGCATGACTTCCCTGGATCTAGACACTATACTCCTATTTATGCATACCAAAATCCCATTGGAATGTGTCTTTCTATGATAATGTCAGGGACAAAACTCTGTTAAGTGGCAAACAGATATGAGAAAAAAGTAGAAAACACAAAAAGCAGAAAAAAGAGAAAGAAATATAAGCGACAGTTGTCATTCAAAGCATATGCAAAAACACAAAAATGTATGAATGAATATATAAATAGTAAAAGGAAAAGTATTAGACTTAGAGATTTATGCAGCCTTCACTGTAAGCAAAAAGAGAAGAATTTTTAAAAAAAGAAATGGCAAGATAATAACTATACCACTAAAAACAAAATTAAGAGGGAAATGGACCACGAATGGCTAAAGTGAAAAAAGATCAATGGGACCCTACCAAATAACGAAAAAAAGATAATCTGGCTTTCCTGCCCCCTAATAGACATATAACACTATGTAAAATGAGATTGGTTACTGGGTTATAAATAATAATAATAATTATTTTCCTGCTTCTTGGCAGAGGGTTAGACTGGATGGCCCTTGGAGGTCTCTTCCAACTGTATGATTCTATGAATAATAATAATAATAATAATAATAATACACTTTATTTATATGCTGCACTTTTCCCCTAGGGGACTCAGAGCGGATTACAGCATTTACTTACTTACATAGGTAATCATTCAATGCCTTTACAATTGAGACACACAAACACAAACAAAGGCAGATGCTTCTGCTTTCATTTCCGGCTTTCTGGAGGCGGTGCTTCATCTCTGGCTCTGGGGAGATGCTCCCCATTTTTTCAAGCTGAGGATCCTGGTTGTGTGGCTGGCAAGATTGCTTGGAGTGTCTCTTTGCCTTTTCCCACCAAGATTGTACCTATTCATCTACTCACATTACATATTTTTGAATTGCTAGGTTGATTTTGCAGATGGATTACCTTTGAGAAAAGGTTGGCTTTCCACAGACTTCAGGGTCAGAATGTCTCGACAGACTAAATACAGAGCTGCTCTAAAAATTCTTCAATAGTCATCATGCATACAAAAAAGATCCTACTAACAAATTACAAACTTCATTTTTTGGAAACAATCTGTGAAAAAATGTGACAGCTGGAACAATTGATCAAATAAGTGTTGATGGCTGTGGTGTAATAATAATAAATCAAATGGATGAATAGCGTCTGCTTCTGTTTCTTTTCTCTTGCTCCAGTGAAATATGAAGAGTTGTACTGTTTTTCTTTCAACCCCAAATTAAACAAAGAAGAGCGAGAACAAGGCTGGAATTTGACAAATATGAAAGAAGAATATAATCGGATGGGGGTTCCCAATAATTACTGGCAGATCAGTGATGTCAACAGAGACTATCGAGTGAGTTGCTGATTCTGAAGGTATAGTCTGTGCCCTAAACTACTTGAGAGCAACATGAAGCAAGATGGCAGCCGCATGCCTTTCTTGAATATCCGAACAGCCTAATTTGGTTGTAATAGTCTTGGGACACAAAATCATGGTTTGTTCAATTGTATCTTTGTGCTTTTAACTTAAGTGTACTGACGTGTACACATAAGTGTACATAAATAGATGCTTAGTTAACCGGAACTCTCAAGCAATTGGCAAAAAATAAATCAAAGAAGAATACTTGAAAGAAAAATTAAAATAAAATCAATATTTAGTGGAAACGTAAGTTGAAACTTAGTGCGCCACGCCATTAGACAGCACACATTTATGTTAATGAAGTTCATGAAGTTGAAAAATGTACTGACTGCCATTTAACTAAAATAGTATAATACATTCACAAAGCGTTTTTTATAATATAAATGAAATTTGTCTTTATTTACTTTTAATCACTGTATTTTGATATTAATAGCAAATCAGTACAGAGTTTATAGCATTGTATAGTATGAAATATAGTTAAAATAGGAAGGCCTAGAAAAAAGTGGAAAAATTGGGGAAAAACCTGGAAAAATGGGGGGAAAACATAGAAAAACCCAACAGAAAAATTGGGGAAAACAGGAAACCCCCCCCCCCCTCAATTTTTCTGGGTTTATTTTTTCAGGTATGATATTAGACCTATTTCTAATAGTAACTCTCAAGCGATTGGGAACTACATTTACTCTGCGTCTACCAATCTCCATGGTTAAATGGTTAAATGAAGGCCCTTCTACACTGCCATATAATCAAAATTATCAAAGCAGATAATCCACATTATCTGCTTTGAACTGGATTATCTGAGTCTACACTGCCATATAATCCAGTTCAAAGCAGATCATCTGGATTTTATATGGTACTGTAGAAGGGGCCTGTGGTCCACTGTAGTTCTACGTTCTCTTTCCGTTAACTAACCAATAATATGTAATTATATCCTTTTTACTTGTGCAGATATGTGACTCTTATCCCACTGAAATCTATGTGCCTAAATCAGCCACTGCCCATATCATTGTGGGAAGCTCTAAATTCCGCAGCAGAAGGCGTTTCCCAGCACTCTCCTATTACTACAAGCAGAATAATGTAAGTGTAACATTGACATCTTAAATACTGTAATTTGTAACTTTCTGTATGTTTAAGGGACAAAATGTCAGAGTGTATGGCTAAGGAGGACTCCTGAGAGATATTTATTGTTATTGACACCAAGGAGAACCACTTAAACGGCCTCTGGCATATGTCTTGGCTCGAAAACACAGTGTAGTGTGAAAGGACTGCTTCTTTGAAACCGAAGTCTATGCTTGGAATGAAACTAGATCTTGGGATGTGGTCTGCTTATCCCAAATCTATGGGTGTGCTTGTACTTCTCTCAAGTGGCAAGCTTCCGGAAGTCTTTCTTCTTTCCAAAGGTTCAGCTCCATTTAGTCCTACTAAGTTTATTAGTGTAAATCTTTCTGTCCCTGCTTTGCTTTCTCGCAGGCATCCATATGCAGGAGCAGCCAGCCTCTCTCAGGCTTCAGCGCTCGATGTCTTGAAGATGAACAGATGCTACAGTCCATCAGAAAGGCCAATCCAGGGAGCGATTTCATCTATGTTGTTGACACACGGCCCAAAGTAAGACAATTCATACACTGTTGCGTAATTATTAACTCAGAGTATTGACGGCTGTATTTCTGAAAAGCTAGAAAAAGGTGCTTGTGAAAGTATGTCAGAGTGCACTGGGTTGAAATAAATAGCCTTGAATTCACATTTTTTTAAAAATTAGAATATGGACAGTTGCTGTATCCCAGTGCAATATCAGCTCTTGAAATTGAAGTCGTGGTTCTGGGACCAGGCTTTTGGACAACAGACATAGATAGCACTTTGGATATGGAATTGGATATGTAATTGACTGGAATGATGTTACGGCCATTAATACGGTTTTTTACTGTTTTAATGTTTTACTTATTGTTTTAATTCTTATTATATTGCTGTGTTATATGTAGTGGCATCGAATTGCTGCCAAACGTAAGCCGTCCTGAGTCCCCCGTCAGGGGTTGAGAAGGAACGGAATAGAAATACCAGAAATAATAAATAAATAAATAAACAAACAAATAAATAAATTATACATGAAGGGAAACACCTGTGATTCCTCCAACTTTGTAGGTTGTACTGTACATGCCCCAAAGACTTCTTCTACAGTGTAAAGTGAGACAACATTTCAAATGGTGTAGCAGACGTTTGTGTATGTATAACATGTGATACTCTATCACAGTGGTTCTCAACCTGTGGGTCCCCAGGTGTTTTGGCCTACAACTCTCAGAAATCCCAGCCAGTTTACCATCTGTTAGGATTTCTGGGAGTTGAAGCCCAAAACATCTGGGGACCCACAGGTTGAGAACCACTGCACTATCAAAAAGACTTCCAGACTTGTAGTAGAATTCTACAGGGATTTGTTAAATGTGAGTTCCCAAATGTTTTATACCAGAGCTTTCCAAACTCTGTGTCGCAACACATTAGTATGTTGCCTGCAGTGTGTAGGTGTAACAAGAAACAACAACAACAACAACAATAATAAAATAAAACTTTATTTATATACCGCTCCATCTCCTAAGGGGACTCACAGCGGTTCCCAGGTAAAAAATCATATAGTTCAAAGAATATAAATGAAAGGCTTTTGTGTGATATGTTGTGTCCCCATACATTTCATTATTACAATTTATGTATCTCTTATAAGGGGTTAGTTTAATCTCCGGCTTACAAGTAAAACTGAATTACTGTATTGCAAAATGATGTACATTTAAAAAAAGTGTATCACCAACATTAAATGTTTGGAAAACTCTGCTTTATACTGTAGTCAGAACTACAAGTCTACCACTGGGCCAGGCTTTAGCACAACAGGTTAACCAAACTTTCAACTGGCAATAAATCTTGCCAGTTGAAAGGTTGACAGCTCGAAGCCTGGGTTGGGGTGAGCTCCTGGCCCTTAGTCCAGCTTCTGCCTACCTAGCAGTTTGAAAGCAAAGTTTGTGGATAAATAGGTACTGCTTAAAAGTGGGAAGGTATTTAAGGCACCCATAAGGAAATGCCAGAAATGTCAGCGATTCGATCAAGGAGGAAGTTTACAAATAAAGCTCTTAATCAAGGAGATAGAGTGACAGCAGCCCCCCCCCCCCGGCTGGAATTGGGCACAAGCCTCCAAGATGCCGAAGATGGGAAATGCCTATGAATAATAGTCTGTCTTGTCAGTGTATGAATGGCATTGAATGTTTGCCATATATATGTTCTCTGATCTGCCCCGAGTCCCCTTCAGGGTGAGATGGGCGGAATATAAATGCTGTAAATTATAAAAAAAAATGATTTACCCTTAAGTGTATATCTTTCAGATTTCAGTATTAATGTCAAAAATGTACAGTATGATTTTACATAGGATTTGTGCTACGTTAGAACAGTAAAGGCAAATATTACTTAAGTAAAGGTAAAGGCATTAAATCCAGTTGTGCCTGACTCTGGGGGTTGGTGCTCATCTCCAATTCTAAGCCGAAGAGCTGGCGTTGCCTGTAGACACCTCCAAGGTCATGTGGCCAGAATAAGTAAAATAAACATTAAATATTAAATAATAAAATAAAATAAAATAATTCCCAGACTAGTCCTCCGGATGTTTTCGACTTCAGCTCCCCAAAGCCACAGCTTGGCCAGTGCTCAGGATTCTGGGGCCTGAAGTCTAAAATACCTGGAAGACCAGTGTTTGGGAAGCAGTGTTTTAAATTGAGTCCTACAGCATCACTACATGCAAATTTATCATTGTACACAGAGCATTCGAAATGAAAGAGTTTATTTACAGCATAATTGATTACTTTGATAGCACAGGAGCTGAAATTTCAATGTCTGGAACTTTCTGAGGACACCTATTTTCAGAAAATGTTGATTTTTAATGAGTTCATTTATATCTTTTGCAAATCAACATGGATCATCAGAATTTCAACATCTGGGAACAAATCTGCATATTTCTATGTACGGTAGCAATGAATAGAGATTGCCCCCTTCTGGATCAACTGAGCAGTTAAAAGTAATATCGTGTTGTGTTTAATTGATCCAAAAAGTAGCTCAGCAAGATGTGAAGTTAAATATTTTTATTTACATTTTTATTTACATTCTTATTTTAATATCCCCACATGCAAATATTAATGTGTGTCACCATGGGCACTTCTACTAAAATGACAAACAAGACTGGTACAGGCATGACTATAGCCTTTAGAGACAGAGCCTTTTCATGGTTTCATAATAGGTTTTGAAGTCCGCTCCATCATTTCATTATTATTATTATTATTATTATTATTATTATTATTATTATTATTATTATTATTATATTTGGCCCATCAGCTTAACCAAATGCATAAAATAAAATGTGGAGGTAGTATTATTGTGCTTCGAGCTTTTTGAATAACAGTGGATTAAAAACTGCCTTAAAACTGCAACAATAATTGTGAAGTAAACTCCAGTTTTGTCTTGTATTCTCTGTGGTTGTGTATAACCATTTAAATGGTAGCTTTAGAGCAGGGACTGCAAACATGGATTGTCTCCACCTTCCATAGCCCATCACTACAAACTATACTGGCTAGAGGAAATGGGAGTTGTTGGCCATATGAAGGACATAATTACTTATCGCAGTTTTGTGGTTTAGGTTTGCAGCAAATGTAAGTGATTTACTTCTCTTCATACTGCACATAATGTCTTTATCTTATCGTGACAGAATAAATATTTATCATGGGATAACAGAATAATCCCTTGCTTCCCTCTCCCCTCTTCTGCCTTCGCAGCTCAATGCAATGGCAAACAGAGCAGCTGGGAAAGGATACGAAAATGAGGACAATTACTCAAACATCAAGTTTCAGTTCATTGGTATTGAGAACATCCATGTCATGAGAAGCAGCCTCCAAAAAATGCTCGAAGGTAAAATTTTATTTGTGTTCTATACTACTTGTGTTTCAACTGTGAGTTCATGTGAGCTTGAAAATTACCAGTATCTCTGCATTTCAGCAACCACTATCAATATTTCAAAAACCAGACATGTTAAGGCTCTGGCGCTAAGATTTCAATTTTATAAAGGATGTAAGAAGCTACCCTAAACTATATCTGACCATTAATTCCTGTGGCACAGCATTGGCTATTCCATCATCCTCCAACCTGCTCCTTGCAGATGAGTATCCAGTTTAACTTGACAAGACAAGATGTGAGTTGGAGTCTGACATGTCTTGAAAGTGAAGAAAGCTGGTCTGTAATTACTGGTTTCCGCAGATCAGTGCCTCCAAATTTGCCTCCAGAGATTCCTGTAACGCTCCAAAATGGAAGGACTCTTCTACATGATTCTATCTGCATTGATGCACTGTAATCTAAGAGGCAGACAAACTTTGATTTTTTGGAAATCCTTTGGAAATTGTTGCACAGAACCCAAAAAAAGATAGGAAGATGTGTTGTCGAAGGTTTTCATGGCCGGAATCACTGGGTTGCTGCGAATTTTCCGGGCTGTATGGCCATGTTCCAGAAGCATTCTCTCCTGATGTTTCACCCACATCTATGGCAGGCATCCTCAGAGGTTGTGAGGTATATTGGAAAATAAGCAAGGGAGGTTTATATATCTATGGAAGGTCCAGGGTAGGAGAAAGAACTCTTGTCTGTTGGGGCCAATTGTGAATATTGCAACTAGTCACCTTGAAGCCTTACAGCTTCAAAGCTTGGCTGATTCCTGCCTGGGGGAAACCTTTTTTTTGGAGGTGTAAGCTGGATGTGATTGTTTCATGTCTGGAATTCCCCTGTTTTCAGAGTGTTGTTCTTTATTTACTGTCCTAATTTTAGAGTTTTTTTTAATACTGGTAGCCAGATTTTCATGGTTTCCTCTTTCTGTTGAAAACTCTAAAATTAGGACAGTAAATAAAACATATGTGAAATAAAACAACATGAAAAACACATGTTGGCAACTCATTCTCTTTCTCAATCTTGTCAGCCTGTCCTTCTCGTTGTAAACTAGCTCAAGATAAATCAATATATCTGAGGGTTATAGAAGAGAGAAATGTCAAAAGCAAATGAAAAATCAGATCAGTCATTACCTCTTTCTTCAATGTGTATAGTTTAGAGGGCTAACATTCTATCACTTCATTTTTCCTCCTCTGCATCCTTCTTTATTAGTCATAAAAATAAACAAGGTCAACTTGTGAATTACTGAAGTTTCATTTGATTTGATCACTCCTCCCTGCACGCCCCTCATAGCATGTTGCTTAAGGATGGATCTGCCCCATACTCTTAGCAGTGATAACACTCGGGTCTTGGAAGTGCCACTGGATCTAACAAAGCTTTTGCTTAGTAATAGAATTCCTTGCTAAGTGAGTTCACTATTCACCTCCAGGTCAGTGGCCAGTATTGCTAGCTCTATATGTGACGTAGGTTGGCAATTTAGGGTTTTATGGACTTTACTTGGTAAAGTGGAGAGCAAATATTGATTCTGATTGGGGAGTAAAGCTCTATTTTGGCTTTATCTGTGCTTTGCAAACAGGAGGCAGGCATCCCAGGTCACATTCAACCATTAATGGATTGTGCTCCCATCTGGTGGGTACATTAATCATTTGACAGGGATATTTTTGCTGTCACCAGTGTCTAGCTCGAGGACAGTTTAGTGAGATATTATTTTGAAAATGACCTTTTTGGATAGGGGGTAAAAAGAACCACTAGGTAAAAGATTAGAATAATGTTTGCATAGAGGTAAGTAAGGGCTTACAAGTCAAATGCATCAGATGCTGTCTTATACTTGGGTAGCCTGTTCATCAACAAAGACCCATGTGGTCTACTCTGGAAACACGACTCAGGCAGTCAGCTTGGAAAAGTTGCTTTTTTATTATAACTTCAGAACCACTGGCTATGCTGACTGGGTGATCCTGGTAGTGGTTCTCTGAGGGGTTTTTGTTGTTGTTGTTGTGTCAGGAGTGACTTAAGAAACTGCAAGTCACTTCTGGTGTGAGAGAATTGGCAGTCTGCAAGGATGTTGCCCAGGGATGCCCGGATGTTTTTGGTGTTTTATCACCCTTCTGGGAGGCTTCTCTCATGTCTCCGCATGGGGAACTGGAGCAGATAGAGTGAGCTCATCCACGCTCTCCCCAGATTAAAACCTGCGACCTGTCCGTCTTCAGTCCTGCCAGCACAGGGGTTTAACCGACTGTGCTACCGGGGGCTTTCTGAGGTTTTAGAAAGGAATTTTCCTAGTCCTATCTAGAAGCGTCGGGAACCTCTAGAGCAATGGTTCCCAAACTGTGTTCCACGGAACTTTAGAGTTCCACAAAAGCATCATACAGGTTCCATGAACATCTTTTTAAAAACATTTTTTAAAAGTCCATGCCAGTTTATGAAATCCAATGTACTCTTGCTTTAAAAACTAATTTTGAATCGCTATTTCCAAACCGACATTACTCAAAACATCTTGATGAAAGAAGGAAGAGCTTTGTGGGTTCAAAGTGTTTAGGGACAGAGTTAGGAAAAATCAAGGACAAGGTAAGGGTTCCATGGAAAAATGAGGAACAGAGTTAGGGTTCAGTGGGGGAAAAAAATAAAGGACAGAGTTAGGGTTCTGCAGAAAAATCAGGGACAGAGTTGTAGTTCCATGGAAAAATCAGGGACAGAGTTAGGGTTTTTGTGGAAAAATCAGGGACAGAATTAGGGTTCTATGGGAAAAAAACTTTTTTTCTTCTTTTTCCTTTTTTTAAATGATTTTAATTAAATTCTTAATAAAGATTATTTACAAAAAAAATCAGGGACAGAGTTAGGATTCTATGGAAAAATCTGAGACAGAATTAGGGTTCTGTGGAAAAATCAGGAAAAGAGTTAGGGTTTCCATGGAAAAATCAGGGACAGCTAGGGTTCAGCAGGAAAATAAAATCCGGGATAGAGTTAGAGTTCCAAAGAACAATCCGGGACAGAGTTGGGGTTCCATGGAAAAATCAGGGACAGGGTTAGTGTTGTGTGGAAAAATCTGGGACAGGGTTAGGGTTCCATGGAAAAATTTGGAACAGATTTACGATTGCATGGGGAAAAAATCTTCGGAAGAGTTCCATGACCAAAAAGATTTGGAAACGATGTTCTTGAGTCCTGTCACTAAGAATTGAGAACAGGTGAACAGATGAAATAAATATAGTAAACATAGGTTATACCCTTTTAAAAGTATGTGAAGGCATCTGACCAGCAACTACACAAATACAAAGAGGTTTTCATGATAATAACTTCATGTATTTCTCAAGGATCAAAATTTCTTCCAGAACATTTTCATTTATAGTTGAACCTTGGATTAAAGCTGGTAGGTAAGAGGATAAGCCACCTTCCCTTTGTGCCCCTCAAAATTGTTTCCTCTCTGGGTTGCTCTTTGTTTGAAAAATAGGCTTTATTATGCAGTCAGCCCTCCACATTTGCTGGTGTTAGGGGCACAGGAGCCTCATGAAAGTATTTTATTTATTTCATATCAAAAGCATTGCATAGATTAGTATAAAACTGATAAAAATAGAAGGAGCACAGACGGCTAAATATCTTTTGACCAAAAATGGGCAACAGCAATGGCATTGTCTGTAGCCTACAACAATTCTTCCTCTGTACATGAGTCAGGGCATAGTGGACAAGCATACAAGTGTGGAGTTGTCTGTTCTGCTCCACAGTCACACAAGTTGTGGGATTCTTCTAGATAGTGCCATTTTACCAGGTTGTCTTTGATCTGCCCACTCCACTTCTGAGTCTGTTCAGAGACTTCCAAGTTGCCCATTCTTGGTTTGCCCCTGGAGGAAGACCCTCGTGGGGGGGGGGGGGGGGGGGGGGGGGGGGGGGGGGGGGGGGTCCAGTTGGGATTTCCTGGTCTAATTGCCCAGAGGGATACCCTTGTTGTTGCTGGGGGGACGCCAAGAGGAGTGGTAGTTCTCATAAAGCTTTTCCTTGATTTGAGTCTACTAGGAGGAGGCTGGTAGCCATGTAGTGGATGGCTTTCACAGTGTTCAACCATATTTCTCTCACATTTGGCAGCAACTTTCCTTCACACATCGGGGGGGGGGGGGGCAATGCCAGCTAGCTTTTAGAGTTTATCAACAGGTGTAGGTTTAAGACATCCTGTGATGATTCTGCATGTTTCATTCAATGCTATTTTCACCTGCTTTGCAAGGGCAGACTTATGCCAAACGGCAGCATACTCGGCAGTTGAGTAAGACAAGGCTAAGACTGATGTTCTTATTAATTTTGGGTCTGCACCCCATGTGCTGCCAGTAAAAGGGAAAAATAACAAATAAAGAAATTGCTATTTTTTCTGAGAAAGCAGCTCTCTAGGATTTTCTAGGTCTTCTAGCACAACTTGTATTGGAAGCTGACTCTAAAATTGCATCGGATAACCTAGAGATTCCTAGAGAGATGTTCTTTCTAGAAATCTCTAGTTCTTCAGCATGACTAGAGGAAGTTGACCACACATTGACACTGGAGGACCTAGAGATTCCTAGTATTTTAAAAACAAATCCCTGAATAATCAAATCCACAAAAGTCAAAACTGCAAATATGAAGGGACTCCTATACATCTTAGCTTGTAACTTTGACTTTCTTTCTAAATGTATGCCTTGATTTCATTTAGACACATTCTGTTTTTCTGAGTTATTTGACATTTGTATGATCTGTGATAAGCATATTTGCACATACAACACATCCCTGCGAGAAAAGTGATGACTATGCTGTGCAAACAGACACTTTATTCGTGTGATATATATTGGAACTGTCATGTAAATTTCAGATTTTGCTAATTAGTTTTTCCGATTTTGCAAAGTTTGCGAGCTGAGAGCTCCTTCAATGAGCGACTTCCTCTGGGGGCTGGAGAATTCAGGCTGGCTGAAACACATCAAAGCAATCATGGACGCAGGCATCTTTATCGCAAAGGTACAGTCAGCACTTCTTCGTCTTTAAAGAAAACAGGGAATGTGCTGACCCAGGAAAACTGTTCGCTCACTGCTTCCTTTGGGAATTCAAGGAACGAATGTGACCCAGATAAGTGGGCAAGAAAGAGACAGCGGGTTCCCTATGGGGCAATATCAAACCAAGAAACTGTGAACAGGTTCTGCTAGCACTGTCCACTGGAGTATCGTATGTCCCGTTTGTCTATTCATTGCATCATATCCATAATATCCAGGATGCATTTATCTTTATACCGACATGGATTACACTATGTAACATGATTTTTGTTCCTGGGTTGTAAATGTCATTTCCTAATTGGTCCTATCATAAAAACATAGAAAAAGTTTCTTAAAGTGCAAAAACTTTGTTTTTGCAGAACATCCTGCAGTACATGTTGCTATAGTTTTTCAACAAATATCTCAGTGAGTCTCAACCAATTCAACTTAGTTTTTAGTAGCCACAAAATGAAGTTTCTGGAGTATAAAAACTACTTTCAAAGTAAGCATTACACAGTTAAACAAGAATAACACTTTCAAACCAGGAACAGATTATTTTTTTCAGGTTTTGTAACATAGTGTTAGGTAAAGGTAAAGGTTTCCCCTTGACATTAAGTCTAGTTATGTCCGATTCTGGATGCTGGTACTCATCTCCATTTCTAAGCCGAAGAGCTGGTGTTGTCCATAGACACTTCCAAGGTCATGTGACTGGCATGACTGCATGGAGCGCTGTTACCTTCCCACTTGAACGGTGCCGATCTAATCACATTTGCATGTTTTTGAACTGCTAGGTTGGCAGAAGCTAGGGCTAACAGTGAGAGCTCATTCTGCTCCCCAGATTTGAACTTGCGACCTTTCAGTCTGCAAATTCAGCAGCTCAGCGCTTTAACCCACTGCACCACCTAAGAGCCTAACCCCAGTTCAAAGGTGAAGGTTTTCCCTTGACATTAAGTCCAGTCATGTCCGACTCTGGAGATTGGTGCATAGTCTTATTAAACAGAAATATTGCAGCTGAGGCTAGAACACTAGCAAGGTAATTTTTCTGTAAATCAGTGCCTAGAGTCCTAGTGGCTATTCTGCCAGAATGAGTTCTAGGAATTGTAGTCTAAAATAGCAAACTCTTTAAATAGTAGGAAGAGACAGGAAGATGCAGAGAAAAATGACGTATAGCAAGTAGGCTGGTTGAACTATCTTCAGTGGCCCGAGGCTATTGCCCACTCTGTAATGTGACATCCTTTCAAATATTCATTTAAACATGGCTAACACTATTTATTACATGTAATATTACTAATAATATTACAATATAGTGGTATGTTGCAATATAGCAATGTTTAATGCTAATAATATAATATATTGTATGTAATATATACCTTATAAGCCACTCTGAGTCCCCTTCGGGGTGAGGAGGGTGGCGTATAAATGTCGTAAGTAAGTAAGTAAGTAAATAAATAAATAACACGTCCCCTCTCTGCCTTCTTTTCTCCAAGATAAACGTATCCAGCTCCCTAAGCTGTTCCTTATAGGGCTTGGCTTCCAAACATTTGATCATTTTGCTCACCCTTCTCTGGACACGTTCTAGCTTGTCAATATCCTTTTTGAATTGTGGTGCCTAGAACTGGACACAGTATTCCAGACTATTTTGGTCTGCCTCCTCTTGCAGCTTCTCTTCTCTTTGAAAGAGTAAGGAACAAAAACAAGAAAATGTTCCTTTTTTGCCCCAATTATCTCTTTCTTCCTCTTCTGCTTTTTAGGCTGTAGCGGAAGAAGGCGTCAGTGTTCTTGTTCATTGTTCTGATGGATGGGATCGAACAGCTCAGGTTTGCTCTGTAGCAAGCCTTCTCTTGGATCCATATTACCGAACTATGAAGGGGTTTATGGTAAGTGTGCTTGCTATGGCTTATTGGTAGCTGTGTACTCTGTAATTAACCTAATGAACATAGAAGAAGCTTTCCTTTAATACTAGAAAATAATCAAAGTACATTCTAACATGGAGTGTCAGTCTGACATGCATTTTATATTTTAGGTATTAATTGACAAAGACTGGGTTTCATTTGGACATAAATTCAATCATAGGTAAGTATGATTTAATATAAGTAGATTTTATAAGGCTTAATGTGCTTGAATATGACTTTTTTTTTTTGCTGCTGGACACTAAATAAACAATACTGTCTGAATGATGCACTTAGATGCTAGGAGTTATTTCTGTGCTGAAGACTTTTGGCTCCGCATATTTTGACCTAAAATATAGAATCATAGAGTTGGAAGAGACTTCATGGGTCATCCAGTCCAACCTCCTGCCAAGAAGCAGGAAAACTGCATTCAAAGCACCCCTGACAGATGGCCATCCAGCCTCTGTTTAAAAGGCTCCAAAGAAGGAGCCTCCATCATACTCCAGGGCAGAGAGTTCCACTGCTGAACAGCTCTCACAGTCAAGAAGTTTTTTCTAATGTTCAGGTGGAATCTCCTTTCTTGTAGTTTGAAGCCATTGTTCTACATCCTAGTCTCCAGGGCAGCAGAAAACAAGCTTGCTCCCTCCTCCCTATGACTTCCTCTCACATACTTATACATGACTATCATGTCTCCTCTCAGCCGTCTCTTCTTCAGGCTAAACATGCTCAGCTCTTTAAGCTGCTCCTCATAGGGCTTATTCTCCAGACCTTTGATCACAGGACAGATTCGAGTACAGTGTATTCGCCCATTTATGGAAAGGGGGTGGAGTGTAGGTAGCTGACTTTTGCCAATTTTCTGCTTCTTTCTGTAACCCCTGACCTCAGAGCCATCTGGCCTCATGCCCTTGCCATGATCCTAACCCCCATTCATTTCTAAGAACTCCTTTTTTCTCTTCCTTTTTGGTTTAGGTATGGCAATTTAGATGGAGACCCAAAGGAGATATCGCCTGTCATCGATCAGTTCATTGAATGTGTTTGGCAGCTTATGGAACAATTTCCGTGTGCCTTTGAATTCAACGAAAGTTTTCTGATCCATATACAGCATCATATCTATTCCTGCCAATTTGGGAACTTCCTGTGTAACAGTCAGAAGGAGAGGCAAGAGCTGAAGTAAGGCAGCTTATTTCTTCATATGTATATACAATATACCTTTCAGTGTTTCCTCTTTCAATTAATGGAAGACTGCTGAAGGGCCAGGCATAAAAAATAATGGTTTTGGTTAGCCCCATCCTTGTTAGATACAAACTTGATTGCAGTTATTTCTTTACTATTTGTTAAGTAAATAAGTAAGTTGTAGCTCACCATCAAGGGACAAAACCCGACTTAAGTTGGCATGCATATTAAAACCCAAATATAATAATAGGTGGGAAGTATGGAATATAAGTAAACAGTAACCAAATATTAATCACAGAATCTGAAAAAAATCAACTAATAAACTAAAGAAAACCCATCTCAACAGAAAAGTAAAGGAACCACTCTCAGCTGAGTAGTTACAGCTGTCTGATCATGTATCGAAAGGATTAGGATTTTGCCATGATTTGGATATTTAATGGTTTACTTCCCTAAACCTATATATTGATTGTGCAGATGTGCCTACTCATAAAAAGTACTAGTGGTAAAATCTTGGTGGAGGCATTTTTCCAAACTCTCTTGTCCATGCTTTACAAGTCCACACTTGTTATGTGTATACAAGTGTCATGACAGGTGAAATAAATGATGCCATGTTGCATGTCTGACAGTCTTCTATGAGGCTGTTTCTCTTAATGGTAGTTTGGGAAAACCATTTGGACTATCTACTTCAGGGGTTCTCAAACTTATTAAGCAGAGGGCCGGTTCACGGTCCCTCCAATTGTTGGAGGTCCAGACTATGGTTTGGAAAAAATGAACTAATTCCTATTCACACTGCACGTATCTTATTTGTAGTGCAAAGAAACATGCGAGTCCAATACAATGATTAAAATGAAGAACATTTAGCCAATATAAACTTACTGGTATTTTAATGGGAAATATGGGCCTGCTTTTGGCTGATGAGAGAGTCAAGTTAATTAAGATTGTTGTTGTGTGCCTTTAAGTTGTTTCAGACTTAAGGCGACCCTGAATGTAAAGATTAGGGTGGATAAATGACATTGGAGAGCTGTATACTGCCTGCGGGCCTTAGTTTGGGTCCTCTTTTCTACTGAATCTACATTTCTACATATTTTATCTCAAAATGACCTACTGCTGCCACCTACTGTTATAGAGGGCAGCACATGAGCTAGTAGCTGCAGTGCATGAGGCTGGGAAGTTAGAAGAGTGTCATTCATTTTATACTATGGCATTTGGTAAGTCACAAGTGCTTCCAGAATAATGAGAAACAACAACAACTCTTCAAGTCAGGAGCACTTGAGTTCTAGCTGCCCTAAATGTAGACCTATTTTCTCGAACACTTCTTTTTAAAATCTACTCTCAGGATCCAAGAGCGAACTTACTCACTTTGGGCTCACTTGTGGAAGAATCGTGCCGATTACATGAATCCCCTATATAGAGAAAACCACAACAGGACCCTGCATCCAAAGTCTGCCCCCTGCCATTTTATCTACAAGTAAGTGACTTTCTTGATGCTAGAGTTATTCTGTGATGGAAAATATTGATACAAAATGCCATTATTCATTTTCGCTGTTTATGAACAAATGTTAGGAGCTGTAATAATAATAATAATAATAATAATAATAATAATAATAATAATAATAATAATAATTTCAATTGTGTTAAAAAACAAAGTATGGATTGTCAATGTTGCAATCCCGGGTGACAGCAGGATTGAAGAGAAACAACTGGAAAAGATGACACGCTATGAGGATTTTAAGATCGAACTGCAAAGACTCTGGCACAAGCCAGTAAAGGTGGTCCCAGTGGTGATCAGCACACTGGGTGCAGTGCCTAAAGACCTTGGCCTGCACTTAAATACAATCAGCGCTGACAATATTACCAGCTGCAAAAGGCCACCTTACTGGGATCTGCACGCATTATTCACCGATACATCACACAGCCCTAGACACTTGGGAAGTGTCTGACGTGTGATCCAGTACAACAGCCAGCAGAGTGTCTGCTGTGGAATCATCTTGTTGTGTTTCAAATAATAATATACTTTATTAATATTCCACTTTATCTCCACGAGGGGACTCAGGGAGGATTACGGAACACATATACGGCAAACATTCAGTGCTGTTGTACAACTAAACAAGGACAGGCAATACATAATCAGAGGTAAAGGCATTTCCCATCTTTTCCATTTACGGCATCTGGAGGCTGCGCTCGACTCCAGCCATTGTTGGCATGTGTGTGTGTTGTTGCTCCATCTTACATGCTGAGGATCTTTGTTATCCTTAGATGGCCTCCTGATCGAATTGCCTTTTATTATGGGAGCCTTTTATTACCTCCCTGCTTAAAACGGTATCTATTTATCTACTCACATTTCTGTTTTTGATTTGCTGGGTGGGCAGGGAGCTGGGGCTGACGGTGGGTGCTCACCCCAACCCGGGCAGGAACTGCCAACCTTTCAATTGACAGGATTTTCTGGAGCTTAGTAGTTTAACCCGCTGTGCTAATTTATTTGACAGATTGACTCTAAACTTTTTCCCTGCCACTGGATTATTCCCTCCAAATAAAATGAGGCTCCATTCACAAAGAAATTCTTGAGAATGTCTGTCCTAAAATTACATGATCCTATTTAAACCAACTTCATGTAGAGGAATGAGGCTATTGGAACACACTTTGTTAATCTTGCAGTTACTCAGGAACTGAGTTTTCAACAACTAGGGCACATTACCTTCTATTGAAAATAGGGTACTGACAGGTACTGGTACTGAGAGGTATCCTGCCTTAGGTACTGGTGATAGCATATTGGCCTCAGGACTGCTAAATGCCTTTCTGCCCATGAATTTGTCTAATCCACATTTAAATCAATGTACGTGAGTGGCCAAGTACTTTCAAATGCCCCAAAGGCGCCTGTCTGATCTTGGAGGCTAAGCAGGTATGTCCTGGTTAGTACTAGGTTGGGAGACTGCCAATGAATACCAGACGCTGTAGTCTACATTTCATTTCAGAGGAAGGAATTGGCAAACTCCCTCTTGGGTATCCCTTCCTGAAGAAAACCTTGTGAAATCCATTGGGTCACTATGAGTTGACAGACAACTTTAAGGCACATCTACACACACAAGTTAATGGCCATGACCATATGTTGTAAAAACGAGTGCCGTAATTACGTACGGATTTGTATGAAGTGCTACTTTCTATTTCCTGAATTTATCACAATTCACCTTCATAGGATGTCCCTGTGTTTTGATATTAAGGTCAGGGACAAAAATGTTTTTTTAGTATTTTCTACATTATGCTAATTTCTTGACAGTTCTATTCTTTTGTTCTAAGTGACAACACACACACACACACACAGTGTTCAAGTAATGTGTAGTTTTACTAAAATGTGAAATAACTCCACCAATACAGAGAGAAACAAATAGGGAAAACTGTAATATTCAAATTTATTTCATTACTAGTTTTCAGGGGTGGTAATGGTTTTGCCCTTTTTACCTTAGAAAGGGATTTTGCTCTTTAATTTGAATTGCAAGTCAACAGTGTCTTCTGAGAACAGAACTGAAGTACTATAGACTTGGGAACAGGGAATAGGGCTATCATTAGACCCTATCGTGTTACAGAGCCTCTCAAAATAGCTTCTCAAGCCCTTTCTAGACAGCTCCATGTTGAATCCACGTCTGACTGTTACTTAACCCAGCCACTGATCTGCTTATGCGCACGCAATTGACTGGTGGCCACATATAACCAGAGAAGTGAGTCAACGAGGCAGATCAGTTTCACTCAAGTTGTCTACGACTTGTCTTACAATTTACACCTCCCTTTCCCTGAGATTTAAATGCAATCCATGACATTAGATTAAACAAGATAAGTGCCTGAGGACTATTTAAGAAAGTGGTGACATAGACAATCAGGTGTTTCCTTGTGTACCAGATTTTCAGGTGTACCTTAACCCACACGAATGGATCCCCTCCTTGCACTGTACCATTCATTTTAATGGAGGCTCCATACTAAGCTTAGAAAGGATCAGCACCTTCTACCGCATTAGTCCACAGGAAACCTTGGAGGAACATTCCTCACTACACCTGAAAATAACTCTCTCTCTCTCTCTCTAATAATAAATAATAATAAAACTTTATTTATACTCCACTACCATCTCCTCAAGGGACTCGGTGCGGCTTACATGAGCCCACAATACAACAATAACAATAACAATACATGCATTTAAAAATAAATCACATAAACAATAACATAAGCATTGACAATAGTACAAACACTTTAAAATCTATGGCTGGGCCAAATGTAATTAAAAATTTAAAAGGATGCTGGTCATGGCCGAGATAAGGAAGTGGGGCGTGGTGAAGGCATGCGAACAGACCTAGATAGATATAAAGTGCTTTAGAAAACAAAGTGATGAGGATTCATTATTCTTTCTCTCTCTCAGGGGCTAATAGGTCATTTTTTGCATATTTTGGGGGCTTTCTGAGCCATATTAAGTCCAAGGCATCCTTTTCTTAACTTCAAGCAAACAGAAGTTCTTTCCTGTTCATTCTTACTTCAAATAATGCATCTCTTGGGTCTGAAGTGGCCTAGGTGGGACCAAGATGCAGCGGAAATGCCCAGACACCTCCTAGAGTGCATTTTGGGGCTGTACTTTGCCAAATGATCCAAATGAATGGGAGAGCTTTGGCAGTCCTAGGGCTTTGTGGGTACATCCAAGTTGCTGCACCCGTAAGAATACAGCAGAGCAAGGCAGTTTGTTCAGTAACAGTAACATACGGCAATTTAATTTTACAGAATCCCTTCATTTCTCTTATTTGTCCTATGTCCAAAAATATCAGGGACAGGGTATAGATCGCTTAAATGATCTAAACCAGTGGTTCTCAACCTGTGGGTCACCAGATGTTTTGGCCTTCAACTCCCAGAAATCCTAAAACCTGGTAAACTGGCTGGGATTTCTGGGAGTTGGTTGCCAAAACACCTGGGGACCCACAGGTTGAGAACCACTGATCTAAACCAATTCCACAACCAAAACAAAAATGTTCTGATTTATAGATCACTAACCATGCCATGAGATTGCTAGGCCCCAAGTGCTTAAGCAAAAAGCCAAGGCAAGTGCAAGGCAGTGCCCATTAAGTCTCCAAGGGGAAAGCATTCCACCAATAGGGCATTATAGCCTTTATTAGCTGAAATATAACATGGCATCAGGATTTGAGTAACCCCTCCTCCAAACTGAAATATACCTAAAAATCAGGTAATTTCATGTGCCAATTTAAAATTTGAGAACATTTTCTGTCATGTTTGAGGCTACCATAGCACAGAACTCAAGTGTCAGCCTTATTTAACATTTTGGGTTGCTAATGTCTATCTTCTTACCTAGGACTAAACCCAATTGAACTCAGTGAGAGTTACTTTGGAGTTGAATTGCTCTGTGAAAATCATAGGTTTGTTTTTATTCCTCTTCTATGGTCCAGGTTTTGGAGTGGAATGTATAACCGCTTTGAAAAAGGATTTCACCCTCGTCAGTCTGTTACTGAGTACTTGATGGCCGTGAAAGAAGAAACACAACAGTTAGAGGAAGAGTTGGTGGTGCTAGAAGAGGTACAGGCCCTGAGTTTTGTGAAGTCACTTTGATGCCCAGCCCTTAAGTTGGCTTTAGCTTCAGGCACTGAATGCATTGCGGTCTCAGATATGAGAATGGCCATTGCCCTTGCACAAGTGTCCTCAGCACGATGCATCCATCACACTCAGTGAAATCCAGAGAAGGATCACAAACATGTCAATTTGTTAACATTGAGGCCCCTTCCACACAGCTGAATAAAATCCCACATTTTCTTCTTTGAACTGAAATATATGGCAGCGTGGACTCAGATAACCCAGTTCAAAGCAGATATTGTGGGGTTTTCTGCCTTGATATTCGGGATTATATGGTAGTGTGGAAGGGCCCTTGGTCACTTGTGGTTATTCACCAGTTCATGATAATTCACTATGTAACAAAATTTGATAAACTTTTTGTTTCTGGTTTGAAAATGTCGTTCCCTAATTGGTTCTATCATAAAAACATGGGGAAAGTTTATTAAACTGCAAAAACTTTGTTTTTGCGGGGCATTCTGCAGCACATTTTGCTATCGTTTTTCAATGACTATCTCATAGAGGCTCAACCAATCCAACATTGTTTGTGACAGCAACAAAAACAATGTTTCTGGAGTATAACAACTTTCAAAATAAGTACCACATAATCAAACAGAAAACAACACTTTTAAACCAGGAACAGAACACAGTTCAAATGTTGTTTTATAGTGTAATTTTTCACCTTTTTCTTAATAATAACCTGAAGGTGGAAACACAATTTTGGCCACAATCCATTGTTGGAATGCTGGACGTTTTCTGGCAAACCACTCAATGGTTGCTTGGTAGGGATAAAAAGAATATTCACCATTATTCATTTCCTGGTCAAAACTGGGTGTCTAACAGTGTAGGAAGAATAGTATAATTTTCCTCCAGTATTGGTACACCCCTAAGCATTTCAGAAAATTAATCTGCACAGAAATGCATGTGAGTTCTTCGTGAGGCTATCAGTTTTTTTGGGGGGTTGGGGTTGAACAAACATGCTATTTGCAACCAGTGTTTTTCCCTCAAAACCACACACTCCCATGTATGTTGGTACAGAAGAATTTCCTGAAACCCTTTGGGATATGTAAATACTGGGTGGGAACTGTAGAAAAACACAGACACACACAAACACACACACATATCCCCGCAATGGGGAGGAACAGTTGGAATTATTCATCTTCATCTACAAGAATTATTAAATATTTATATTCATATAGCTGTGGATTCATGTACAGAATGTTGAATGGGGAAGATTTTGATACTAAATAATCATGTTTGGCAATTAAGACATTTAAATATTCACTTTTTGGCTTTTAAAAATAATGGACCTTATGTTGAAGGGGGATTCTATTAAAAACAACAGACACACAGATTGGAAAGGAGACCAAAGTTTTTCTGGCTGGGAAATAAGTTTACCCATCCCTTTCCTACTTTTTCAATAGCCACTTCTATCTAGTGCCATCTAACTGGAAAGAAGAGCTGAGCTAGTGGAGGCATAGTGAGGTAGCGGCTTGATATTTAGGGCTGAAGTCTGCTCACTTATGGCATATTCACCTGCCATTGAACCAGTTTCTTTAATTTTGGATTTTCTCTTTGAACATTCCTTATTTTTTGTCAAGGCTTCTTACATAATGCTACATATTTAGTGTGTAGGAGTGTGTTTCAGAAGAAAAAAAGGTATATTGTTTGTTTTTATTGTACTTTCTCAGTTGTATCGAACACATTGTCTCTGTCTCAAAGATCATATTCTTCCCTGGGGGAAAAAAAACAGCACCTAGCAGTTACATATAACTTCCCAAAGATGACTTACTTCTCAATCAGTCTATCCCAGTCCATTTCTGTTTCTTCATGTGGGTTTCCACCAATGCACATACACAGTGTCAATGTAATTGAGCATACAGTAATATGGGAATGAATGAGCCTATGTTTCTTATCTTACAGAGGTTGGCAAAGCTTACAAAAGTGCAATTTAAAAATGGCGAGATCATGGCAATGCAACAAAATGGAAGCAATGGCTTTGGACACTCTACCTCCAACGACAGCATCGCCAACACTCCCCAGGACTATACTGGCAATCTGAAATCATTCCCATCCCGGAGCACTTCTCAGGGAGACGAAGACTCGGCCCTGATTCTTACACAAGATAACCTGAAAAGCTCAGATCCAGATCTTTCAGCCAACAGCGACCAGGAATCAGGGGTGGAGGATATGAGCTGTCGGTCACCCAGTGGAGGGGGATGTTTGCCCAGCGAGGATAGTACCAAAGACCGAGATTCAGATGAAGCTGTTTGTCTTACTGTCTGAAATGACAGTTGGTCAGTAAGTGATAGACGGAGCCCCAAAGAATGGGAGTTGTGCATTCAAAGAGCCCCTATGTAACCAAGTTGTAAAGCTACAGTATTAAACAGGAAATGGCCTCTCATATTTAGAACAATCATGTACATAATATCTTTCATCTGTTGTCAGTAGTTTACAGAGCCATGTGGAATATTTATATTTTATTTTTGGATGTTTGCTCAGTGTTTAGTTTGTCAACCATACTATCCTTCCAAAGAAGCCTCAAGGGAACATGTTTATGTACAACATGCCAAAAAGACCCACCCAAATGCAAATAATTCCTTCCACAACACCAATAGATAAACAAACAAAAGTAAAATAAGTAAATGATGATAAAAGTATTTCCTCTTTGTTTTAAATTCTTGGAAGATGTTGCAGTTCTATCATCTGTGTATTTAAAATATTGCTAGATAAAGGTGAAGATCATTTAATGACTATCATTGCTGCTCACATTCAGACAATAAAAAATTAAAAGTAAAAAAGGGTTCCAAGTTTTTGAGTTTGTTCAATGGGTTGATGGCATATCTATACTATCAGCGTATCTCGTTTTTATATCAGTTTAATAAATAGGACTTCTCCTTGTGAAATTCTAGCTTGATGAAGATGTTGTGATCCACCTCCTTCCCATTCATATGCCATTGTGCACCTGAGAGAGAAATTGGATTGGCAAATCTTATTCTGCAGAGATAGCAGCAGGATTACTTGAAATTGAGAAATCTCAAGAAACAAACTACCGTATTTTTAAAACGATTTTACTTTAAAAAGGCAATATAAAATACATAGCTACTATGGTATATTGCTGTATTCCAGGTTAGTCTGGAATATCAGTATGCAAAGAGTTCTGTAGTACCTTGGAGATGGAGAGAACAAATTTAGCAGCATAAGCTTTTGTAGACTAAGGAGTTTATTACACGAAGCAAGCAAATTGCAATTGTAGCAGGACAATAATGTCTTTGCCTCAGAATTATCAAACAACTTGCTGTTCTCTGAGTGGGAGATCATTGGGGGCTCCTTTCACAAAAGGCCATTAACAGATGATTTGTGTTTGCAAAAGACATGCTTTCCAGGCTGTTTCCTACCAAAGGAGTAATACATAACGAGTGATGTCATGTGATGCTGTTGTCAGGCTATAACTGTGAATTTCATTAGTATTTTATGTATTTCCTTCTGACCTTGCATATGAGGCTATTTATGCTATTCTGTCAGCTTGTAAGGTGCTACAAGCAGCCTTATCTTGTGGTATAGTGCTTAGAGTGTAGGACTGTGATCCAGAATGGATACACACTCAAATATCTACGGTTATCTCGGGCCAGTCATGTCATCTTGGGGTTTCCATGAGGATTAAGTAGCAATGGCATCAAGAAATCACTGAAGAAAAAGTGGGGTATGAAAGACAGCTTACAATGTTGTTAGAGGAGCTTGCCTTGATGCAAAAGTCTATGAATCTACTTTAGCTGCCTTAAGAGTCCAGGAATCTAACTCTCTTAAGGTGTCAGTGAAGCAGCCCTTTTCAAACAGGAAGTAGACCCACTTTGCTTTTGGGGACATTAATTCCTAGTGAAAACGGAACCCTTTTTCAGCCTGTCCCTTTAGAGCAGGGGTCCCCAAACCTTTTAAACAGAGGGCCAGGTCACAGTCCCTCAGACTGTTGGAGGGCCGGATTATAATTTGAAAAAAAAAAGGAATGAATTCCTATGCATGCTGCACATGTCTTATTTGTAGTGCAAAAACACTTTAAAACAATACAATAATTAAAATGAAGAACAATTTTAACAAATATAAACGTATTAGCATTTCAATGAGAATTGTGGGCCAGATTTTGGCTGATGATAGGATTGTTGTTGTTGTTGTTATTGTGTGCTTTCGAGTCATTTCAGACTTAGGTTGACCCTGAGTGAGGGCTGGGTAAATGACCTTGGAGGGCTGTATCTGGCTCCTGGGCCTTAGTTTGGGGACCCCTGCTTTAGAGTATACATTCCAGTTGAAATACACATTGATTTTGAAGGAACTAGCAACCAAAATTGGGTTCTTATGACTCAAATTATTCATATCATATGATTAATGATTAATATTTGCTCCTTTCTCTCTTGATAATTTTTACTTGGCTCTAATATTATCTTTTGGAATCCGTTTGGATCAAGTTTAGTATTGTTTACCTGGGACTTAACTATGTATGTGTGTGCCTTCTGTTGTCTGTCGATTTATGATGATCCCATGAATAACATGGGGGTTTCTCGGGAAAGGACTACTCAGAGTTGGTTTTGCCACTGACTTCCTTTGAAATGTAGCCTGCAGCATCATATACTATGACTCTGGAGATCAGGGTTTGGTTCCTCCTTTGGATGATCTCAGGCAAGTCACTCTCAGGCTCTTTCTACATTGCCATATAAAATCCAGATTATCTGCTTTTAACTGGATTATATGCCAGTGTAGACTAATATAATCCTGTTCAAAGCAGATAATGTGGACTATCTGCTTTGATAATCTGGATTATATGGCAGTGTAGAAGGATCCACAGTCCCTGCAAAGGCAACCCCTCTCTGAATAAATCTTACCAAAAAACCCCTGTGACATGTTTTCTTTAGGGTTGCCATAAATCCACAACAACCTCAAGGTAAACAAAAAATTAGGATAACATTGGGGCAATTTAACATTTTAGAACATGATGTCTGTTAGATACTTCTTGTGAGTTGAGAATATAGTTTCATCACTTTATAAACTAGTATAATGATATAACCTGCTTTACACAGGATGCCAGTGTAAAGCAGGGCAACACTAGCACTGAGAAAGAAACAGAAGAAATGCTTAAGACTTTATAATTATACTTAAGGATTTATAATTATACATTGTTATTGTGTAGTACAGTAAAGAAAATAGTGCCTACTATCCACTTCCCTGGAAAAATAAAAGAAAGGGATGATGCTTTCATGAGGAAACCTGCTCCCACTTTAAACTGCTTCTGAATTCATAGAGAACTTTTTAGAAACATAAAGTCATTACCATTCTAATACATAAATGGGGGATATGATGCATATCCCTCATTTTATTTTTAAAAATAGGGTCCGGATTGTTCTCTTATACCTTTAAATAAATGCATTTGCTTATTAGGAACACTGGATGTGATTTATATATAGATATAACATGCACACCCTATCGAATTTACTTTCCAAATACACTTTTTGAATGGGAAAACATGAAAATTTTGAAGCATGAAAGCATAATGTGGAAAAGAGTTGTATGGAAAGTATGAATGGATTCTCTGAGTGTATGGTCTGACTATCAAATGTATATAGATGTAAGATATGTCTGTATACCTAAGAAATACTGAAAATTAGGACTCTGGCAAATGCTTCTTACTCTGTATTAGACTTCAAGCTTTATCAAACCCTGGCAGTTTTGAGTGCCAAGTTCCCTGATGTGATGGTACTGTTTGCATTGTATTAATGCTATATTATTTTACCTGAATGAAGATTCAAACAATAAACATATATATGTATCAAGGGCACACTGGTATTGCATTGTATTTTTCATATTAGGATTTTAACTGTAGACTATTCCATCATATTATGATATAAAAGAAGTTTTTCCTCCCTGCTGCTATTAAAAAATTGAATTCTAGCAGGACAATCTAAAATGGTGCCTCAGAATAGCACAAAGTGTGTATCCCAAGTTTTTTAAAATTGAAAATTCCCTGGCTAACTATTTAGGTTTATTTATTTCATGTCAAAAGCATTGCATAAATCAGTATGAATCTGATAAAAATAGAGGGAACACAAGCAGTTAAATAATTTTTGACTAAAAACGAGCAACAGTGACCGCATTGTCTGTAGCTTTAAACAATTATTCCTCTGTGCACGAGGCAGGGCATTGTGGGCAAGCATACAGATGCAGAGTTGTTTGTTCTGCTCCACAGTCAAACAATGTGGAGGATTCTTCTAGGTTGCCAAATTGTGTTTTGAACTGCCCACTCCACTTCTGAGTCTGTTCAGAGACTTTCAAGTTGCCCATTCTTGGTTTGCCCCTGGAGGAAGACTCCCCGGGGGGGGGGGGGGGGTATCCATTTAGGATTTCCTGGTTTAGCTGCCCAGAGGGATACTCTTGCTGTTGCTGGGATAACATGGTTCTCATGAAGCTTTTCCTTGAGTCTACTGAGAGGAGAGTGATAGCCATGAAGTGGATGGCTTTCATAGTGTTCAACCTTATTTCTCTCACAGTTAGCAGCAACTTCCTGTCACACATCGCGGAGGGATGGGGCGAGGCAATGCCTGCTAGCTTGTAGAGTTTATCAACAGGTGTAGGTCTAAGACATCCTGTGATTATTCTGCATGTTTTGTTCAATGCTGTTGTGCTCATCTGCTTCGTGTGGACAGATGTGTGCCAAACAGGGCAGGCATACTCAGTGGTTGAGTAAAAGACAACGCCAGGCTGATGTCCTTGTTAATTTTGGGCAGTCACCCCATGTGATGGCAGAAAGTTTCCACAGGATGTTATTGCATGCAGCTATTTTGTGGTTGGTGTTCATACAGTGTTTTCTAAATGTTAGTGTTCGATCTAAGGTGACACCAAGATATTTTGGATGGAAACCGTGTTCAAGCTCTTGGCCTTCCCAGATAACTTTCAATTTCCTGTTGGCTTCACAGTTACATAGGTGGAAAGCACACACTTTCTTGGCAGTGTTGGGCTTCAGGTGGTTATCTTTTGTAGTAGCTGGAGAGATCTTTTAAGGCATAAGTTGGTTTTCGACTGTTTCAAAATTACATTTTTACTATTTAGGTAGTAAGGTGCACCTCTAGCTCAGCATTTTCCGTTCACTGCTGTTGGGAAATGGCTTTCAACAGCCGGGTATTGGATCAGATGTTTTGCCTTTTCAGCTGGGGAAATGTTCACTAAAGCCCACTTCTATGTGCTTTTTTCTATATAATTTTTACATAATAAAAAAATGAAAAATCCACTCATGGCCTTTTCAATGCTCACCCATTCTGCAGTTAATGGAATGCACCAGTCCACACTGGGCTTTTTTGCCCCTTCCTCCTAGTTATTTTTCTAGGTTTTTTTAACTTGGTACTTCTGCAAAACTTTGTTCCTTGAATGCTACCCACACTCCTTGTGTCAGAATGGTGCCATTTTGGCTATCTAAAGGACCCCCATTTAGACAATGAGTTTGATATTGGTGCATTGACAGCTTGAGGTCTTAAATGGGAGAAAGGAAAGATATAAATAAATTACAGTCCGTGAATGAATACTGAGTATTTTCAGTTATATTGTGGAAAACCACTATCAGGAAAGGTGAGAAAGAACAACCAAGCTTTCTAAAGACAGGCACAGCTAAGAGTTGATAATTAATCTAAACAACATAGTCAACAGTTGTATTTGTTCCACCAGACTTATTTATTTCCGGTTCTAGGCTCATCATTATTAAGAAGAGTCCCCAAAATATTCAAAAGCTGAGCTCTACAACTATCTTTCTACTCAAGAAATCAGATGGTTTTCTTTAGAAAAGCAAATATTGAAATTGAGATCTTCCAAGAAGCCTGTGAAGCCACCAAAACCATAAGGTGTTTTTGTATGGGGGGTGTCATAGAAGGAAACACTTAGAACTGATTATCCATTAAATTGTCATGTACACATGTTTGTCTATGTAGGGGAAAATGAGTTCAATAATTCAATGTCTATAAAGTAACACTGAGTTCCTTACAAGTGTGATGGCCCCATTTCACAGCTAATGTAAGATGTTCTTCTAAAACAAGAAATGACTGGCATTTAGTGATTCCATCTCTGAAGAAGCCTGAATTAGAATCAACATTCTATCAATACAATACAGAAAAAGGACAAGTATGTTCAGCTTATTGATTTCTGACCCAGGTGAGCTAGAGAGCAAGGATTACCCAGTCTTCCCACACACATTGTGTGTGTTCATAGTTTCTTTAGCCCCTTTCTTGATCCCAAGGTGCATTTGCACATAATAAAAAGCAGAGAAATTGAGACTACTAAATACTGAAATCCCACAAAGATCTGCTTGTATTCTTGTTATCTCATGACTATTTTTCCTTGTCTCGTGTGAAGCAAGACGTTGAAAAGAAGCAAGAATTTTCAGACACATCTATGGCAGTGAATAGCAGATCATGACTATGACAAAAGACCACACAAGGTGTAATATCAAAGTCCTCCCCAGAAGGTACACCTGGTTTAAGCTGTGGGCTGTTTATTACCAACTCTGCAAAGAGCTGTAAGGCAGTGCCACAAGCTCCCAGCTTTATTCATTTCCCAGTTGCCAGTATGTAACTTCAAAGTATGTTGTGATGGTAACATAAATAAAAATGGTTGAAAACTTGACTTCAAGAAACCAGAAGGTTTATGTTTCTATGTCAAAAGGACCTAACAGCACCTCACAACACTTAGTGTTAAGTAATGAAAATGTTCACAGCCCTCCCCCAAACAAAACTAGCCAATATTTAATACAAAAGTTATGAATTATGTTGTATAAAATTTAAAAATCTAGTCAGAAATTACATGTTTCAATTTTTAATCTATAAAGTAGGTGGAAATAGCAGCAGAACTTAAATATGGTCATGATAAAGACAAGAAATATTAGTGCAAAAATTGCAATAAGAACAATTTTGTTTGAATGAGAATAGAAAGACGTTCCCATTTTTTACAAAAAAAAAATTCATATCCATAAGTACACAGCTTTCCCCCTATAAATACACCCATAATTGCAGAATTACCGATCTATGAACATGTGTTTTGCTGGATTTGTTCAGTCGTCTAAGAAATTCTAGTTATCTGGAAAAAATCTGTGAACACACAAAAGTTAACAACAATTAAGTTTCATTTCCTATTGGTTAAAAATGCAATTATTTTACTTTAATTCAACACAAAATGTCGGGAATCTAGACTTCACCGAGTGCAATTAGCAATTTACTGGGTTTAGCCCTATTATAACTTTTAATCCAGTATTTTCTAATTGAAAATACTTCTATTTAGTAGTCCCATCTTCTTCACTTCTGTATTGCCACAGCCCACCCACTCAGTATGACCTTTCTACCTTTAGCAGAAGCTTTTTTATGGTTTAGGATTTGTTGAGAACAGCAATGGCAAGATCATTTCTGCCAACACTTTCCTCAGCACACCTCTATCAACAGTTTCCATTTCTTGCTTCTTCACTTTAGGACATCTAACTCCAAGAGATATTATCAGCATCACTTTTTTTTACCCAAAAATTCAATCGCTAAGACCCACAAAGGGATTCTGTTTAATTAAGGGCTTCACCTATTCTTTTAATTCCGAAACTAAGTATCACATATCGAGAATTCAGTAGGTAATATAACTAGCATTTTAAACCGGAATCTATCATACAGTGCGTTTAAGCACCTTGATGTAATGTTTTGTAGCAGAAATTGCACAAAATTAGACTGTTCCACACAATGCCCCTGAGTTTTGGTCATCCACCACGTAGAGCAGAGTTTTCTAAACATTTCATGTTGATGGCACTGATCTTAGGCCCCTTCCACACAGCTGAATAAAATCCCATATTTTCTGTTTTGAACTAGAATATATGACGGTGTGGACTTAGATAACCCAGTTCAAAGCAGATATTGTGGGATTTTCTGCCTTGATATTCTGGGTTATATGGCTGTGTGGAAGGGGCCTTAGACACGCATCATTTTGCAACACAATAATTCAGTCTTACTCGCAAAACTGGAGGGTAAACCAACCCCTTATAAGAGATATGTATACATAAACTGTAATAATTAAATATATGGGAACTCAACATATCTCATAGAAAACCTTTTGTATATATGGTATTTTTCCAAATATAATTTGTAAGATAATAACATATATTTCATTTTTTTGTCATTTCTCATCACCTTTGAAAACCACAGACCACTTACTATAATGCAGTCTGTGCCCTGCCACATGCACAACAGAGGACCTTCTTACAGGGACACCAGAGGCACTTGAAGTGGCCAGTTTCTGGTCAAAGGAAATTTAGTATAATGCCAAGTGTGTGTTTTTTTTAAACCCCTGTTCATGATTTTTAACTATGTGGTTTTTTATACATAACTGTATCCGCAATTTGCTTCTGACACAATAAATAAATAAATCATGTTTGCGTGACACAGCTACACACTGCAGCAGTTGTGACACACAGTTTGGAAAGCTCTGATTTGGAGTTAACAGCCCTCCAAGAAACCGGTTGCTTTTTGTCTGATGTAACAATATTGTTGTCCCACTCAATTTAATGTATTGGTAGGAAAATATCCTATTTCATTTTGTGGTTGAAACATGACATAGGGAAACTGTTTAGAGTGCTCGTATGATATAACTATGTAACATGTTTTTTGTTCCTGGGATATAAATGTCATCTCCTAATTGGTTCTATTGTAAAAATATGGGGGAAAGTTTATCAAATTGCAAAAATGTTGTTTTTCTGGTCATCCTTCAGCACATTCTGCTACAGTTTTTCAATCAATATATTATCGAGTCTCAACCAATTCAACATAGTTTGTGGCAGCCACAAAATTGAAGTTTCTAGAGTATAACAACTACATTCAAAGTAAGTCCCACAAAAATAAACAAGAAAAATACTTTCAAACCAGAACAGAATATTCAAATTTTGCTACATAGTGTATACAAAGGTGGAAGTGCTCAAATGTATATTTTCTTGAGCCAATCTGGGAAAGATCAAGCAAAGTTCCTGGTGTCAATGGAGGCCAGGATAGAAGAACCTGATGTAGGCATCCCAAGACAGTTTACCACATATCAGCCTGAGATGACATTCAAGAATGCCCAAGGCCAGAGAAGAATTAAACAAAAGGAATAGTGCTAGAAAGACATGCTATGGGACACTGCTTCTTAAATTGTGGAACCTGACTCCAAATGGGGTCTCTTTAGCTTAAATGTTGGGGTCTTGATTTTTTTTCCCTGAACATCACTTAGTGTTTTAGACATTCACACAAATCTGTTGCAAATACTCTGCAAAAGATGTACTTCATAAAAAGGGAAATCAGCCTATTTAGCAAGCCTTGCAAATGCTGATTTTTTATCAGTAAATGTTTGATTTCCATACCTTCTATATCAGGCAAGAGCAAACTTCAGCCCTCCAGGTGTTTTAGACTTCAACTCCCACAATTCCAAACAGGCGGTAGGCTGTTATGAACCGCGGAAGTTGAAGTCCAAAACATCTGGAGGGCTAAAGTTTGCCCTTGCCTGTTCTATACCTATATAGTCGTGGTCACATAAAAATGTCTTGGACAGAAAGAAGTCTTGAGTGGAAATGTTTAAGAAGCCTTGCTACAGGAGAACACAGGGATCCTATTTCCTCAATATACAAATTATAGACACAGCTAGTCTCAGCTACTGCATTAAAGAGCCATCTAGTGCAGGCATGGGCAAGCTTTCTTGCCTTAGGTTCAGGCCAGGAAAGAGGGCAGCAAGGCACACACTGGGTGGGAGGGGGAGGGCCTGGGAGAGGGCAGGGCCAGGACGGAGTGGGTCATTCTCAAGTTGGCCTCCTGGCATAATGATGGGGCTCTTCACCTCATCCTTATGCCAGGAGGAAAATGAAACATGTGGTGACTGCCCCGATCCCTCCCTCAATCTTCGGGCTGTCCTTTCGGCATTATGCTGCGATGAGGGCAAGACAGTCGACGACTGAGAGAGCTCTGGAGGGGTCTCAACCACTGCGTACCTTCCTCAAGCTGTCCTCCTTTCATAAGGACAGGGCTGCTCACAACATCCTTATGCCAGGAGGAGGACAAGACATGGCGCTGGTTGAGAGCACTCTAGAGGGTTCTCAGCTGCTGTGTGTCATCCTCCCCCATCTTTTCTGCATAAGGATGTGGTGGCTTTATGCCAAGAGGACAGGGAAAATGAGAAGAGCTTGAGGTGTCTGTCCAGAAGGCCGCATCAGGCTCCTGGGTCTTAGTTTGCCCACACCTGATCTAGTTCCTGTTGGTCTATGGAACATACCTATAATGGAGCATGGAACTGGCTGCGCATCGCTATAGCTTGCTGAAGCTTTTCCTCTTTGGCTCTTCTACAGTGGCAAATCTAAAAAGAGAACCAGTTAATATGCCTCTTTATTTACATATACCACACATTTTGTCTTAATCTCTGCAGGTCACATATCAAATCAATAAACTCATTTCAATTTGAAACACAGCTTTTAATGGATTACATTGCTTTTTTCTGAATCAAGTCACTTTTGGCAAAATAAGCTAATGAGGTTTTATAGTGGTCAAAGCCGAGTCTTATGTTATTTTCCTCTGAAATTGATATTACTTATAGCACTGACCGCCTTACGCAGCACCTAGTAAGTTTTATACTTTTCACATGTTTTAGCACATGTGTGGTATTAACTATTACTACAAGGTTATTAAAGAGCTAGGCAGCAATCTGATGTACGTTCTCCTACAAGAAAGACCCACTGGAAACAAGGGACTTCATTGCAAAACATACTGATGAATGTGATAATTTTATTGTTTATTTATTTATTTATTTATTTATTTATTTATTTATTTATTTATACACCTGTATACCGCTAATATCTCAGCCTAAGACGGCGACTCATTGCGGTTTACAGCAATTAAAAACAATATACAATTTAAAACAACAGCACATAAACAATACAAATTATTGGGCCACCAATAATCATACCATGCATCTCGTCAATAAAATCACAATCCAGAATTCGTCATCCATCATTAACCAGTCCTTAGTCAGCAAAGTTCGGTGATAACAGACTAACCGAATGCTTGTTTAAACAACCAAGTTTTCAGTGATTTCCGAAAAGCCATCAGCGAAGAGGCAGATCGTATCTCTATAGGGAGGGTGTTCCAAAGCCGAGGGGCCACCACAGAAAAGGCCCTGTCTCTCGTTCCGCCAGCCGCGCTTGGGAAGCCGGTGGGATAGAGAGCAGGGACTCTCCAGAAGATCTTAGGGTCCTGGTGGGCTGATAGGCTGAGATACGTTCGGATAGATTTATGTTCTTTCTTGATTTAAAAACATAAGTCTCTTTCTTGAGCCCGGTAGCATATCGGCAGCCAGTGGAGCTGGTGCAGCAAGGGAGTTGTATGCTCCCAGTGCCCCGCTCCTGTTAGTACCATATTTAAAGTCGAAATATCCATAGCTCTCTTGAACTTTACGCATTTTTCATTCCAATTGATTATAAAAACTATGTAACTAGCAGCTAGTGCCTGGCTTTGCTTTTGTGCCCCTCCTTTTTCCTAAATCCTTTTTATGTTTTGTTTTTCAAATTAGGATTGAGTGGAAAACCTGTCATTATGCATTCTTGTAATTCTTCAAGACACTTACTATGAGTGAAAGAGAAAAAAATAATTCTTACTAGTTTAACATGCACCGATATATATTAATCTGTTTGATAAGAAATTTGGCAAAAATACACTACAAGCATCAAATCAAAACTACTGTTGAGCTGTAAATACCATATTTTTCTCTTTTATTCATGTAACATTACTATGAGCCCAATCTATCTGTTTTAAATTATTGTTGTGTATTTTGATTTACATGTAATTTAGAGGTTTAATTTATCACAATCTCTGTGATTCGGTGAGCACTGGTTTATATCAATGCAGTGAATCTTTATGGTCTAGGCTGTTTTTAGAATCCTTTTTTGCATCTCACTATTTAAAATGAAAGTATTAATTGAGTCTAAGCACAGCCTGCATAGAACACCATCAGTAGTGTTATCCATGGATCCTCCTACAGTCTTAATTACTGTGGATATCAGGAAGATGTCAACGGGATCATTTTGCCCTAGTTTCTAGAAGCAGTCATTTAATTGAGTGCATTCTTTGGATGCCAGAATTTGGGGGAGATTATTTGGCAATAAGAGATTGAACATCGCTGTAAGGCGCAAGGACAACAACTTATTCCTGAAAACATTTATCTGTCATATACAATTCTCAAACAGCATATCTTGTTGGAAATAGCAACCTTCAAGCCTCCATTAGTTATTTGTTATGTATATAATTCAGATTGCTTACTGTATTACATATGTGTGTAGGGGTATGCAGTTTTCCTTAACACTGTGTTGTGGGAGGGGCTGCAGACCATGTGATCACAACTGGGACTGTTGAGGCTCAGGCGCCATTTTGGAACTCTGACTCCATTGGACTTTCAGACTAGACAGAGACTCTATTAGACTTTCAGACCACAGATATGCTTTAGAGGAGGGGTCCTCAAACTATGCCCCGAGGGCCGGATACAGCCCTCCAAGGTCATTTACCTGGCCCTCACTCAGGGTCAAACTAAGTCTGAAACGACCTGAAAGCACACAACAACAACAACAACAACAACAATCCTATCTCATTGGCCAAAAGCAGGCCCACACTTCCCATTGAAATACTAATAAGTTTATATTTGTTAAAATTGATCTTCATTTCAAATATTGTATTTTTTTTAGTGTTTTTTGCACTACAAATAAGATATGTGCAGTGTGCATAGGAAATTCATTTCTGTTTTTTTTTGTTCAAATTATAATCCGGCCATACAACAGTTTGAGAGACTGTGACCTGGTCCTTTGTTTAAAAAGTTTGAGGACCTCTGCTTTAGAGTATGGACTGTTGATTATAAGAAAGATGTCCTGTGTTATCTGCACAGAGAAACTACTTCAAATCCCATCTGTAACTGGATTGATATGCAAAGTACCTAGAATCATAGAATCATAGAATCAAAGAGTTGGAAGAGACCTCATGGGCCATCCAGTCCAACCCCCTGCCAAGAAGCAGGAATATTGCATTCAAATCACCCCCGACAGATGGCCATCCAGCCTCTGTTTAAAAGCTTCCAAAGAAGGAGCCTCCACCACACTCCGGGGCAGAGAGTTCCACTGCTGAACGGCTCTCACAGTCAGGAAGTTCTTCCTCATGTTCAGATGGAATCTCCTCTCTTGTAGTTTGAAGCCATTGTTCTGCGTCCTAGTCTCCAGGGAAGCAGAAAACAAGCTTGCTCCCTCCTCCCTGTGGCTTCCTCTCACATATTTATACACGGTTATCATATCTCCTCTCAGCCTTCTCTTCTTCAGGCTAAACATGCCCAGTTCCCTAAGCCGCTCCTCATAGGGCTTGTTCTCCAGACCCTTGATCATTTTAGTGACCCTCCTCTGGACACATTCCAGCTTGTCAATATCTCTCTTGAATTGTGGTGCCCAGAATTGGACACAATATTCCAATGTGGTCTAACCAAAGCAGAATAGAGGGGTAGCATTACTTCCCTAGATCTAGACACTATGCTCCTATTGATGCAGGCCAAAATCCCATTGGCTTTTTTTGCTGCCCCATCACATTGTTGGCTCATGTTTAACTTGTTGTCCACGAGGACTCCAAGATCTTTTTCACACGTACTGCTCTCGAGCCAGGCGTCCCCCATTCTGTATCTTTGCATTTTTTTTCCTGCCAAAGTGGAGTATCTTGCATTTGTCACTGTTGAACTTCATGTTGTTAGTTTTGGCCCATCTCTCTAATCTGTCAAGATCGTTTTGAATCCTGCTCCTGTCCTCTGGAGTATTGGCTATCCCTCCCAATTTGGTGTCATCTGCAAACTTGATGATCATGCCTTCTCGCCCTTCATCTAAGTCGTTAATAAAGATCCTGATCAGGACCGGGCCCAGGACGGAACCCTGCTTGTGGCACTCCGCTTGTCACTTCTTTCCAGGATGAAGAGGAAGCATTAGTGAGCACTCTCTCACTACTCCATCCTGCTGAGGTTGAAGATGACCTGCTGATTACAACCAATTACAGCTCAACCTAACCGTAGTTTTGCCTAGCCCACATTGGACTAGTTTGTTTGCCAGAAAGTCATGGGGGACCTTGTCGAAGGCCTTTACTGAAATCCAGGTATGCTACATCCACAGCATTCCCTGCATCTACCCAGCTTGTAACTCTATCGAAAAAAGAGATCAGATTAGTCTGACATTACTTGTTTTTGATAAATCCATGTTGACCATTAGCGATGACTGCATTTGTTTCTAAGTGTTTGCAGACCGCTTCCTTAACAATCTTTTCCAGAATCTTGCCCGGTATCGACGTGAGGCTGACCGGACGGTAGTTGTTTGGGTCATCCTTTTTTCCCTTCTTGAAGATTGGGACCACATTGGCCCTCCTCCAATCTGCTGGAACTTCTCCCGTTCTCCAAGAACTCTCAAAGATGGTTGCCAATGGTTCTGAAATGACTTCCGCTAGTTCCTTCAATACTCTTGGGTGTAGTTGATCTGGCCCTGGGGACTTGAACTCATTAAGAGCGGCCAGGTATTCCTGGACGACTTCTTTCCCAATTTGGGGGTTGGATGTCCTCCAATCCCTCATCCACTCCATCTTGCTGAGGTTGAAGACTCTCTTTTTGTGAGAAGACCGAGGCAAAGAAGGCATTAAGTAGTTCTGCCTTTTTCCCTATCCCCTGTCAGCATTGCCCCATCTTCTCCTCGAAGAGGTCCTATCGCCTCCTTGTTTTTCCTTTTTCTACTGACATAAGAAAAT